ACTAATTATTGATGAATTTTAGTTTAAAATGCACATTGGCCCATTGTCATTGATGACCTCATCTTCAAGAACCTTTCTTGGAACATCAGGGATACCATGGTAGCAGGAGAATAATTTGAGGAAAATCATCAATTTTTAGCAAAAGCATACCAAAGCATTATGTACTCACCAGTATTGAACATCTTACCCTCTCTTTCAATTAGTACAGCAAAGTGAAATTGAATATGTCATTAAGAGCATTGCTTGCATTGGAGACACTTCTCTAGCACTCTGGAATACTTGAATGTTGTTGAGAGCTTAGTTTGTATTGGAGAGGCTTTTGAGGCTCCTGCAGCACCCCTGAAAAGCCTAAAGTTCCTCACATTGAATATAAATGTGACTCTTCAATTTAACCAATTTATTCCCCTGCAATATATATGTTGTGCTCTCTGAAAGTGGACACTATCTTGAGAAGAATTACAAGTATAGCATGACTCTCTCCAAAAGCTCTAGTAATAGTCAATGCAAATTAAACAAAATGATGATGAGATCAAGATAAACATCCCTGAAGTTGGAACAACCAGTCATTGGATATTGACATCTGGACTCAGCAAGATCCAGATGTCTAGACACCTAGACAGTATGGACATTTATTGAATAAGGTTACTGAGATTATGATAAAACTATGCAAAACCTTTTTGATCTTCTCTGTGCCTGAATCAATCCTTTTCCAGTCTGCTTTATATAAAATATCCCCTTACAGCATGTGTTTCCTTAGCTGTACATGGAAAAGAAATATATCTTTGAGCAAATATTATGATAATCTGACAGATGTTGTAGTTTTGAAAAGATATATTATTTTAGTATTACATCTTCTATATTATTGTCTTGATTTTTTTGCTTCAATCAGAACATCACAGCTCTAAAGAAGATGGCAGAATCTTGTGAAGAATATGCCAATTCATAGCATGGTCTTGGCATATGGTAAAGCTGAGTACTAGTTGCATAAGTTGAATGTAGTTGCTGTATCCAGCAATGTCAGAGACTGAGTCCAGGCTTCATTTCTGCAGCCTTTGCTAGATAAGCCGACAATGACATATCATTAATTTTGCTTGCAATACTCTCTAGTCAATGTATTCTGGGATATCTTATGATGTTTTCATTCTAACAGTAAAATACTGCCTGGGAAAAGCTAAGATAAATATCCAGAATATTTAAATTTTACTCAGAAAAATGTTTCACATACAATTTGATAATAAATTTTCAGCAAATTAGTGCTTTCTCATGATTAGCAGCATCTAATTGAGGGATTACCCCCATAGTGAGACTAGAATTTTAGCTCATAGACTTTATTGGAGTCTACCTCAATGCCAAACCTTAAGGTGAAACTATGTCAATTTACTCCAAAAATATGAAGAGATTGTTACCAGAGATCTTTCACCAGATAATTATATTCTCAGGATGTATTGTGTGATATACAGAACCATGGATGCTAGAAATACTTGATTCCACAAGTTGAACAAGATGTTCATGGCATTTGGACACATTCAATCTCATGCAAATCTATGCATAAGGTTGTTGAAACATGGAGGAGAACAAATCATTACATGCATGTACATTGATAACATAGCTGATGCCTCTTCATCTAAAGCTGAAGGAGAGCTTGTAAGGAAAGAGATTGGGAAGGTATACAATATCAAGAATATGGGCAAATATAATAGTGTCCTTGGAATGATGGTAGAGTTCAACAACAATATTGAATCAATCTTGCTACATTAAAAAACCTCATAACAAAGACCCTAGAATAATTCAGCATGCTTGATTGCAAACCAAAGGCCATTCCTTTACCAGTCGGAACCCTAGTTGCCCTTGATACTCAACCAAGATCTATCCTCACATCAGACAAAGAGTTCATAGAATATAAGGACTATAAAGCTGTACTGGGATCTTTGAATTATATTACCAATAAGACTTGTTCAGATATTGCATTCACCATAAATTACTTCCAACATTTTGCCTCAGACTCTTGACCTATTCATTGGAATAGAGCAATGCACATTTTAGCATATCTTAAGAGAAAATCAGGCACCAAAGCAGATAATGGATTAATGCCAGTTGGATATGTGGATTCATCACATGAGGATGACTGTACCACTGGAAAATCTATGATAGGCTATATATTCCAAATGGCTGGAGAACCTGTTTCATGAAGCAGTCATGCACAAAAGAGGGTGGTGTTATTGACAACTGAAGCTAAATATGTCATCATGGTTTATGAAGGATAGCAATTGATATGGATGGGATCTTTCTTAGATGAGCTGGAGATTGAAAAGGATCACCCTTATACTATTTAGTGTGACAATAACAGCACTATTGACCTCACCAAGTCCACTAGAGGCTATGGAAAATCAAAATACTTCACATTGGATTACCATTAGATATGAGAGATAGTATAACTTAAGGATTTGGATATCAAGTATATTCTATCTGAAAACAATCTTGTTGATATATTCACAAAGACTATTCCCAAGCTACATGCAACAAATCTCTTATGACATATGAGATTCACTGAAGTTTAATTACAATAGGCATTAACTTCAGAAGGAGTGTCAAGAGGTTCAGTCAACACTTTCATTGGGCTTTCCAGGAAGTCTGTATTTATAGAGGAGTGGTTAGTATTCATTAGTGTGATTGTTACCATACTTTAGGATTTTTTTGTTCCATCACACCTCAGTCTTTTACACCCATTGTGAGTGAAGACTGAGGTACATTTTTACTACTTTATATATTGATATAGTACTTATAACTACATAGATTGTTGTTTCTTTACAGATATTATCAATTCAGTCTTTTACACCCATTGCAAGTGAAGACTGAGATCATTGTTTCTTGACAAAATGCAGAGATGAAATATAAAATAGAATGTAAAATAAAAACTGGGAATCAGAAACCATAAGATTCCAAAGAGTGGTTTGTCAGAGTTGACTTAAGATCAGAGTTCTGTTGGCATGTGTGTTATACTGGGTTGTGATCTTTGAAAAATGTTATTTCAGATTGGTAATATACCTATATACTAAAACACAAGTTATGAAAGATACAAAAGAGTCACACAAAAAAGAGTCATATTCTAATCATAAGCTTTATGATTCTATAAACTAGCCTAGGATTATACTAACTTGAAGCTTAAAGTTAACTCATTGTCATTAATCCTTATAGCTTTCTAATGACAGCTTTAAATCTAGCTCTTCTATCTCTTTCCATCAATACTAATTCTTATATGTTAATACTAAATCATTCATAAGTATTAATATCTCTGAATAATATTTTCACAAAGCATGCATTCTTACTGATAGCACCTGTAATTGCAGGTCTTCTGCCTCTTTCCATTGACCTTGATCCCAATATGTCTCTGCTAAATTATTCATAGCTGTCAATGTGTGTGGATGATCTTTTTCTAAAGCATGCTTGCTTGCTGATAACACCTGTAATTGCAGGTCTTCTGCCTCCTTCCATTGTCCTTGATTCCTATATGTTAATGCTAAATTACTCATAGCTATCAATGTGTCTGGATGATCTTCTCCTAAAATATGCTTGCTTGCTGATAACACCTGTAATTGCAGGTCTTCTGCCTCTTTCCATTGACCTTGATTCTCATATGTCCCTGCTAAATTACCTATAGCTGTCAATGTGTTTGGATGGTCTTCTCCTAAAGCATGCTTGCTTGCTGATAGCACCTGTAATTGCAGGTCTTCTGCCTCTTTCCATTGACCTTGATCCCAATATGTCTCTGCTAAATTATTCATAGCTGTCAATGTGTGTGGATGATCTTCTCCTAAAGCATGCTTGCTTGCTGATAACACCTGTAATTGCAGGTCTTCTGCCTCTTTCCATCGACCTTTATTTTTATATGTTTCTGCTAAATTACCCATAGCTGTCAATGTGTCTGGATGATCTTTTCCTAAAACTTGCTTCCTTGCTAATAACACCTGTAATTGCAGGTCTTCTGCCTCTTTCCATTGTCCTTGATTCCCATATGTTAATGCTAAATTACTCATAGCTATCAATGTGTCTGGATAATCTTCTCCTAAAGCATACTTGCTTGCTGATAACACCTGTAATTGCAGGTCTTCTGCCTCTTTCCATTGACCTTGATTCTAATATATTGATGCTAAGTTATTCATAACTATCAATGTCTTTGGATGATCTTCTCCTATATTATTTTTATATTTTTCTAATAAAAAACACTGTAGCCTCTGAGCTTTTTTCCATTTACCATTATAGAAAAATGCATTTGCAATCTGATTAATTATATAATCATTTTTATCAAGTATGTTATCAGTTAGATGTAAACTTAGAGTTTGAAAAAAAATATAATCTTCTTTATTCTATTTTTTTGGTACTGATTTTGCTATTATAGTTATTGCAGTATTATGAACACTTTGTTTTTCTACCTCTTGCAATCTATCAAGACACCATTTATGTACTAATGAATGCATAAAATATATAAGAGTTCTGTCTTTCTCTGTCTTTTTAATAAGTGAACAAGCTAATAGAAGTGATATCCCTTTTCGAAATGTTTTAGAATTCCACTTATTACTTTCAGTTTTCATCAATAATTTATTATAGCTATCTTTTATAATATAATCATCAGTCAAATTATCTGTTATAGCTGCACGATTAAATATTTCTTCAGATATATTTTTATTGTAGAAAAATGCAAATAGTTCTAATATTTTCAATGCATATTGTGCATCAATTGCTGATGAGTCATTTTTTTGTGCTTGAGATTGTATTGCTTTTAATGATAGATTCCATACTCCATATATATTTTGCTCTTTTTCAGAAAGACCTATTTCTGTTAATCTCTCTTTACGATTTTTATCAAACAACTCAAGATAATCATAAATTGTATAATAGCCATATTGAATAGATGATCCAGCAAGATCAATTGCTAATGGTATATAACCAAGCTCAAATACTATAGCTTTAGCATATCTATTAATTTCATTATTTATTTCTTTAAGATCACTAGCATTAAAAAGCAAGTTTATAGCTTCTTCAGATTCCATTTCAGATACAGCTATTCCAGCATTTTCAGTAATGCAAATCAGATTAGGATTATGACTTGTAATCAAAATATTTCCTTTTTGTCCAGAAGGTAAATACTTTTGTAATAGACCAATGTTATAATAGTCTGCATTATCATATATCAAAAGCCATTCTTGTTCATAAATTTCTGAAATCCAATCAAGTGTTAAACTTTCATTGTATGTCTGAGAGTTTAATGTTTTTTGTGGTATATATTTAATATAAATATTCTTGAGACTTTGAACAATTGTGCTTTCTGATGATGCATCAATCCAAAATATAATAGAGAAACTAATAAAGTTCAAATATTTATATAAGTTTATTGAAAAAGCATTTTAAACTGACTTACCCTTTTGACTCAATCATATTTTCAGCAAACTTTAAAGCAATCTGACTTTTACCAATTCCTCCCATTCCATGAAGTAGAAAAAGACGCCTTTTTCATGGTTTTTCATGAGGAGCAAAATATTTTTCAAGCTCAGACAGATATTGCTGATGTCCTGTAAACAAAGGTAGCACAGAACCTGGCAAAAATATCATGGAAGGCTTTGAAACTGAAGTTATGTGTCCAGCTATAATCATATTAGCTTTTAACCTATAAATCCTAAACAAATAAAACCTACCAAATGTCCCTAATGTATGGGTTCTCTTTGTATTAGGGCTGGAACAGAGACATTCTACAACTCCTTCAACTATTTTAGATGTATTGGGTTCTCTCAGATAGACACTTGTATGAGCTAGTATAATAGCTCCTCCTTCCTGCCAATCATCTACTTCCAATACTCCAGTTCCATGTATAACATTCAACCTAAAATATGTTCCTGGACTATTATCATACTGTTTTGTGAAGTCAGAAGAGACAGACTCGCAATCAGTAGCAATCTTTGTGACAGTCTGTAATAGCAGAAGAGGTAAGAACTTCCCCATGCCTCTTGGTTGCTGAAATCCATTAGGTCCTGGATGACCTGTTCCAACACTGAGAAATACTCCAATAGAACAATCACTGCCAAATAGTTGCATTGCCTCCTCTCTGACTTCTTTTGAAGGATTGTTATGACTAAAACCAGCATCAGTATATAAAGAACTGATCTCTCCTGGACCAGCAATCATGATAGATTTAAAAATCTTTTGAGTAGCAGTTGTAGCTCGGACAGCCTCCCAGACCTTGCAATCTGGTCCTTGATTGGAGAGTCCTGCATATGTCCGAAATCGCTGTGGAGATTCCAGATTGGCAGTAGTTTTAGCACAGACAAACCTAATGTAGAGATGAGTATAAGAGTAGAGGAATACAGCCATAATCAACATACACATTGCCAATTGAGTCCTTTCCTGCATTTGGATCAAGCAAACTCTCATCACCAGTATACCCCCCATGGCTATGCTTGACAATCTCCTTAATCTCTGCTTTCAAGATACTAGCCTTAAACTTTTCATCCTTGTAGAATGGTTTATGGTTGTCAGGGCTGAATACAGCAGCTGCAAGTTTGTTATAGCTTCGCAGTGCATCTTCAGTTGACATTTTCAGTCGACCCAGCATGATTGCATTGAGACTACAAGACTAATATCAGCCTCTATGGAGCCTACAGTAGAGCACACAACTCACCCTCCAGTACCAGAACCTCCAATAAGATGGAAATACTCATAAGGTTTTGGTACCTCAGGCAATTGCTTCTTGGCTTGGATGCGCTTCATGATTTCATCAAGAATGATGAGCTGAGACACCCCACGTATCCCGCCGCCGTCTATCTCATGTATTAGTAAACACCATGCAAAGAACATGGAGAACGCACCAAGCGACAGCAAGTTCATAGGGCTGTTGTTAGAAGTGTTTAAATTGGCCATCGATGAACAAGATTCTAGACATTTCAGGTCAGTGGACATGGTATACACTCACTGAAGGCCGCCGTACCTTTCGATAGAAAATAGATAGCTAGATGCTTTCAGATGAGAATGCAGATGAGTGGTAAGAGGACAAGTTGTCGTGGGAAAGGCATGGCGATTTGTGCATTGCTGTAGAAGGATCACGGAGGAATCGATGCACCGGTAAGTTCATCTTGATGGTGGCTTGATCTGTGATGGCCTGAATTGGCGCCGCGAACGATGTATGAGAGAAAAAGAAATAGTATTCCAAGTACGGAAGACATAAAAAGATATAAGGATTAAGCCAGTACAGTCCCCGATGCCAGTCTGAAATTCTCTGCATCGCTCAAACAATTGATGGAAAGAATGACCACGAAGTAGTGGAACTTTTACCAGCCTTGTGATGGTTCGAGAGTGATGAGACTGAATTGACCGCATCAAGTTGTGCAACAGCCCTGCATGATGGGCACCTCACGGGGACGGCAGCGGGTCATACCTGCTTGAGATTAACAATGGAAACATGAATGCAAAGACGCCAATGAACAAGTAGGCCAAGAAGACGCACCGTGCATATAGGCACACGCTAGACCAAGTAGCTTTCAGATATGTTCATCGGTGGTTTGATATATCTGACACTGGGTTCTAGTTTGCCTTTCTGAAACACATTCATCACATCGAAGGAGAAATGTGCTCAGCCTACGACGCATGTAAGTCAGTTGATGTTGGAGAAAGGAGAACGGCATGCACGCACAGACACAACTCTATATCGTCTATCAATCTACTTCTCCCTCCAGAAATGGTGCACCGAAAACACATACATGGCCAGACAGTGGCAAGAAACATGCATAGCACTCCCAGAGACGGTGGGGGCCAGGTCTGAGAGCACGACATCCACCAAGCCTCACCCTTCCTCCGTTGTCTGAGGTCCATTATTGCTACATCCGTTCTGTGATCGAAACAGTCCTACTGAAGAAACCGAGTGTCAGGAATGAGATACATTAAGAAAGTCGACAACGATGATAGCCCCAGTCCCGCAACCCTGACTTTCACAACAAGTAAGCATCTCTTCTATTTCGTTGATGTTGTAAGTAACGTAGTCGCAGTGCCGGGGCGAGAGCTCTGCCTATCCTCGTCTGGGTGGTACCCTGAACGCATGATGCAACTGGTTCCTTGGGTGTTGTAGCGACGTCGACACTGATATTGACATCCTCCTGGCAGAGAAAATCTAGCTGGCTGTCGAGTTTGAGAAGTTTGAACGACAGAGGTGCATTGTGGTCACAGCGCCGCCGTGCCATCAGTTGCGGAGACCAAGAGTGAGGCGAAGGAAGAACAAAATAATATAGATGGCCAGGAAGAGGGCCTTTTGTTTGGTGTAGTAAACAGCCCCCGCTCTCTCTCTTACCAAGATGTCGCTTTGCTCGGGATATCAACAAGTTGGCTAATTTGCCGTTCAGACCAGACGGCGACAACGAAAGAAACTTCTATGTTGGGCTCGAACTGGGACACGTCGCGCCAACCTTCATCCCGAGTTGTGAGAGTTATCGATTGACTGTTCACAGGGCTGCCGTCTACTCGGGTCGAGAGTTTGGACACCCCAACGCCATTTCTGCAGCTGGCTAGCACAGTGCTATGAAGCTTGACTTGGGTAGATCTTCTCAGGTGCGTTGACTCATCCTCTTGAAGCTACAGTATCTTAGCATACCAACAGAACGTCTACTGATCACAGTAAGAGCACAGTAGCCTACGTGACAAGCATACATATTGACAATGGGTTTGTTTCAAAGAGGTGCAACTCGAAGAGCAGGACAAAGTCCAAGACACGCAACCTTTGCGCTGAAATCTACACGTGCCGAATCACTGACAAACCTAATCCTACACCGTGTCGGTGTTGTCAAGACGACTATTGATTTCTGGTGAAGCAGTGCCCATCAAAGGTAAGTCCAATATGTGTTCTATCACGGACTCTCAACTTGAACCAGCTTGAAGGTCTGTCTACAAGTCACTGGGTTCTTTTCCCAGAAGGCCTTCATTATTAACTCTGAATAGAACGAATTGCCTCCGTTCAAGACCACCGATGCCTTGAAACAAACCCCATATGCATTAAGGCCGCCAAGCTGAGGCCGCCTGGATCGTTGAAGGAGGGATATCACCAGGCTTTTGAAGTGCAAATCTTGACGAAAAGGCTGGGGAGACAGTTCATGGGAGGAGTTCTGGAGCAGTATGTGGCTACTACATTCGATATTTCTCTCACACCTGACGCTTTATTTTAGTCGACGTTATCCGCGCTAGCTATATATCCAAGTTCCAGACATAGAGGTCGTAGTTCCCTTCATGTCAAGAAAAAGTCGCGAAAACCTTTTCCTTGCGTGATATTATTCTGCCTTGCCTGTATCCCGTACCCTGACATTATACTGGAACAGCCCTTCAGAGTCCAGGCTCCCTTCTAACACGAGACGTGGATGTGTGCTGAGCAAGCATATGTCTATGGATCCTGGTCGTTAGCAAGTCATACTTTCGAACTAGATATCCATCAAGCCACGCAAGAGAAGACCACCAGCAGGAGCAAAAGGTAGTATGCTCTTCTGGCATCACCTCTCATTTCTCTGCTACAACCCCATCCTGATTTGACGTGTCGTCCTCTCGAGCCCATCTCATCCACCCTCAACTCCGTTACTCGGCAGTCCATCGCTGCTGTTTGTCCTAGAAAAGGCCTTCATTGTCGACACAGAAGAATCAGATGCCTCGTCACGTCCCAACGTTGTCATTACAATTCTATGGGGGTGAACCAGAGCTAACGATCACCGCATGAGTTGAGATATGATTGCTACCTTTTGGATGAAGCCTGGATGCCACGTCACTCAAGGTCCTACTTTAAATATCGAGTTCTTCAATTAAAACAGGATTCTCTCTAAGTGTTATAGCATCTCTCCCAGTTGCACCTCTTCATGACATACATGAGGCTTTTTCGTTCCTCCTTCCACAGCTTCAGAACACGAAGCTCAGCGGTCAGAATTGTCTTTGCCCCCATCAAAGTGACCTCGCTTGGAATCCCCTCGACGGCAAGAGGCAGAACCTAGAGGCTAGTTGTCATTGACGTAGTGCTATGCCATCTTCATGAGACCCGGAAATGGATGCAGGTGGACAGACATACCTTGACTCGAGGCACGCGTAGCAAGGATACCGCATCGAAAACGACTCAAGGCCTGTTGAACTGGTGAACGTGCCCTCATCATCAGCCAGGAAATGTATAGCTGCGAACCACAATTAGTTGACACCCCATCTATAGTCGAACAAATACACACGGGTGCCATTCGGAACGAGCTTCTCCTTCCAAGCCTTATGCATCAAAAAGGATCAATTCTGGTGCATATATGGAGGGGGAAAGATCCACGAACTGTTCACTGACCACCACGATGTATATATCCCTTCCATTGCTTTAGCTCGTACTCCTTGATATACCCCAGGACCTGGGTTCCAGTGAACATTCCTGGTACACCTCTTAGAGTCAAGTACGACAACAAGGAAATCCTACACTCACGATGATGTTCTTCCCTTCCCAGTTAAAGACACGTTTTTGGTGCATACTGCTTGACGGAAGGGGTTTGTGCTGAGGTGGGAGGCTGAGGGCTCAACGACATGATGGCGGTAGTATCAAAAGCAGGATGTGGAAAAGGCAGAGAACTACATTCGCGTCTCTATGTAAATTTCCTGATGTCCGAGTCAGTCAAGTATTTACATAAAGAAATGGTACTAAAGCATACTGATACCAAGTCGAGTAAATTCCTGCATTGTGAGGATGTAGATAGAACGTCCTAGCTAATATTCCCTTCTTTGTTATATTCGCTGTCTGGTCTGAATTTGTTGATTTGGACATCGCAGTAAGAGGGAAAGAATACATGTTGTTTACGGTGCCAAACAAGTCGTCCTCCTTCCCAGCCACCACCTCCTCGGATTCCCACTATCAGGCACATGCTACTCCCTGCATTTATAGAAAAATACCCAACCAATGTCCGATGCGACAAGAATTGCCTCTGACTCCGAGTCTAAACAGACGAGCAGCTATCACTACTTCCTCCCAAAGCGCTTGACAAGGCCTCGACTCTGCGTAAAATACACTCGCATCCTTGCTCCGGTACGGCGTTATTAATCCATAGCATTGAAAGACACTGTCCTGGTCTGGGGGCTGTGCCAGGTACTGGGAGGAGACTCGTCGTCAGAGCACACGAATGCGAACGATCCGGAAGTAGATTCACATGAAGCAGCTTCACCATCAACCCCATGTTCATGCTGTATACGACGCAAGTTCTTCTGTTCTTCCAGTATCACTGCAGTTATCGATGGCTATCAACACGAGGCCCTCCGCACCAGATCTTCCTGTGAACTTGCTATCTCTCGGTGAGCACTCCAGCTTGTCATAAGTCACTCAATTGACTCTCGTGGTAGATGGCGGCGGCGTATCCGAACTCTTCATCCTTGACAAGATCATGAAACGCATCCAGATCCACCAAAACCTCCCTCAAACCCCCAAGCCTTGCAAATACTTTGATCTCATCAGCGGAACCAGCACTGGAGGGTAAGCACAGATAATCAAGTCATGGTAATGATAATTAATTGGCGCCGTTCTCTAGACTAATCGCAATCATGCTAGGAAGGCTAAAAATGTCCACCGAAGACGCCCTCCAAAATTACAACAGAATCTCCAGCGTGGTGTTCAGCGCCGAGAACAAGAAGCCTTTCTACAGTGATGGAAAATTCAAAGCTACTACGCTGGAGAAGGAGGTCAAGAACGTTGTCCGCTGGGCTGGGTACAGCGACGATCAGAAGCTGTTGGATCCCAATGCAGGGAGGAATTCAAAAGGAAACGTGTATGTTCCATATCGCGACATCAAGCCCCTCACCAATTCCGACAGTTTCGTATGCTCCATGACCGGAATCAACCTCCAGTCTCCTCAACGCTTCCGCACATACCAAGGACTCCCCAATCAAGGTCCCGACTGCAAAATATGAGAAGCCGCGCGCGCAACCACAGCAGCACCGACCTTCTTCAAAGCCATCAAGATTGTCGGACCAGGAGGGTTCGGGCCCGACTACGTCGATGCAGGCCTGGGGTTTAACAATCCCACCAAGGAGGTCCGAGACGAAGCCAAGGAGCTATTCAGCAGCAACCGATGTATCGGCGTGTTCCTCAGCATTGGGATGGGCCACCCAGGCCCTAGTGGGTTCTGGCAGCCCAAAGGGATAGAGAAGGTCCTGCCGTTGGAGCTCATTAGGGTGTTGCAGCATATTACAACGGACTGTGAGAGCGTCGCAGACGAACTGGCCAAGGAATACGGTGGTGATGGGGTGTACTTCTGGTTCAACGTTCTCCATGGGGCCGAAGGAGTGTATCTGGACGAGTGGAAGAAGATGAGCGAGGTGATGGCGCATACGGCTTCGTACTTGAGAGGGCTGGAGGCTTCAACGCAGATTGATAGGGTCGTAGCTTGTCTCTGTCGCGTTGGAGTCGGACAAGGGAAGACGTTGGATTCTTTGTAGTCATTTGAAGCATGCAGGAATGTAGAAATTGTATCCGAAAGTTCAAGATCGGATTGTGGTAGACATTGACCGACCTACCGGTAGTTAGTTGACCATACGCCATTGACCATGCCTTGATACAAGTATTCGGCTTTTGAGCACTGCTCCAGCTGCAGGAATGGCGTCAGATTATCCAGGCCCTAGAACATAGTAAATGACAGTTCTACGACAGATGAAGTACTGACCATCTGGTAGTAATGAGAGACAGCTCGACGTGTCCAAGTAGGGTAGCATATTCTTCTTCGTATTTGCTGTCTGACCCTGGTGGTAACCTAAGCAAGGCGACATCGCGGTAAGAGGGAGAGTCATGTTGTTTACTATGGCAAACAAAAGGTCTCTTCCTTACCATTATGACTACGCATAATCTCGTTTGATAAAACGATAAGCCCTGGTGAACTGATGCATCCCACGACATACTCAAGCAAGAGTGACTTTTTGCACTAACTTTCGGTCACTTATTTGAACTTTTTCACTTATTCTCCTGCCCGATTTGGCATGCTCACTTCGCACTTCGCATTTGCTTGATACACCTATCTGTTGCTGACCAGCTCTCGCTACTACTTATAGGTTAACGGTGGTAGGTCATACTTTTGTCCACCAAACAATGATCACACAGTGTTCATACAACCTGCTTTCACAGTTGGCCAAGCTTACGACGGTCTCAGGTCCATGGGTCGGAAGCAGGGAGAGTTAAGGCATCACATGTATATGGACGAACATGTTAGGCATATGGATGTTCAAGCGACCATGGTGCATACTACTCCTTGCGTTTGTATCACTCATAGACATCCCGCCAGGAAAATACCTTGGCCAACCTCATCAACTCCAACCAATGTCCATCAGACGACGATGTGACCAGAATTGCCTCTCTGCTAACACAAACGGACGAGCAGCTATCAAAGTGCTGCGACAACATTTGTTGTCTGCAGGATGATTTTCACGAAACTGTCGCTCGTTACCACAGTGCTTGACAAGGCCTTGACCCTTCAGAAAGAGCTTGTCAAAACCAAGAGTATCTACACTCGTATCCTTGCTCCAATACGGCGCCTCCCCACCGAAATACTGATCCAGATCTTCCTCCGTAGCATTGGAGGGAATTTTTCCCTATTCTGGCTTAAACGAGGGCTGTGGGTACTGGGAAAGGTCTGCCGCAGGTGGAGACAAATCGTCCTTTCCACTCCAGAGCTATGGTCCGGCTTTACTCTCTTCCCTCATGGTAATCCTCACCTCTTCAGTGATCCCGCCATGCTCGTCTCCCTGCTCGACACTGCTCTCCAACTCTCAGGCCAGCGCAACATATCCGTTTACGCTGATATGCCTATCGGCTAGCTCAAGGACGCATTGGCAGATATTTGGAGACATCTTTCTTTGCATTCTCATCGCTGGAAGGACATCCATCTCAGGATGGCAGACTCTTTTGCGCCTCTTGATGCAGTGCCAAATGGTGGCCTCCCCTCCCTCGAGAAGCTTACTCTTAGCATGACCAGCACCATGCATGACCACGCTTGCGAAGCTCTTAACGCTTCCCCGCGTCTGACGAACCTCACAATGATCAACGACGGCGGGTTTGTGATGACTGCAGGCTTTCCATGGCACCAGCTCATGCACCTTGCTCTCCTCAGCCACGGTACCCTCCCTGAAGTAATCCATCTTCTCCGTCTTTCTCCATGCCTTCAAGTACTGGAGGCTCTTGGCACACAAGTTCAGCAGAGCTGGACAGTCCCACTCGAACCCATATCCCACCCCTCCCTCTGCAGGCTGCAGATATCCGATATAACAATCCTTCAGCATCTTATCCTACCCACGCTTAGCGACCTCGATCTCGTTGGCGCTACCAATGAGCAGGGATGCGCAGATATCATCTGCAGTCTTCTTTCCCGGTCGAAGAGCACGTTACGAAAGTTCAAGATTGTTTGTGACACATCGTTGCACGGTCTCATGAACATGTTGAGAGCAACGCCCAAGTTGACAGAACTCACCGTTGAAGCACTAGAGATGGAGGAAGGGTTCGTGAAGGGTTTCTTTCAAGCCAAGGACTTTTTGTCGTCCCTACAAAAGGTGTCGTTCACCATCGGCAACTTTACTCCTTCTCTGGAAGCAAACACCGTATTGGTCGACACGATAGAGAGACGGTGGGGATCCGCAATGCGATCCTGCTATATCTCTGCGCCTTCCGTAGATTGGCAGATTGCTGATGACAACGCGGTGAGGATTAAGAAGATGCGGGGAGGGTCTGGACCTTATGATAATCTATGGTAGGTTTTTCGTACTTCATAATTTTACACACGGACTGATACAAGGGCTACCCAGCAAATAGAAGGGTACCATAAAGCTCAAAGGACCCTGGCGATTGTGTTGGGTTGCGACGGATTGCCTTGCTTCGTGCCATTATAGCTCTGTAGCGATAAACATGTCGCCTTTCCATTTACTCCCATACACCGTCGACGTCGCTATGGTTTCATCATTGCTTTTCCGCATATTGATATATCTGCCGATGCACCAGGGACAGAGTTTTCAGATGCCAAAATTTTAAGGCGTCCTGACTATGGTGCCCATACTTAAATTTTCGAAAGAAGAATAAAACTCACTGGAATTCTGTCCAATACCAAAGATTCCGAGAAACCGTAAAATTGAAAAGAAACAAGGAATCAATCACGAGCACCTGTACTCAAGCGGAAACTAAGTATTCCTGAATCTTTGCTTTCAAAAACCTTTGACGGCAGACTGGATTCGAGTCTCATATCTTATATTCTGAACCCAATTGAAGCCCTTTTCATGCTTATATACAAGCAGGTAAATCAGACGCTCCTAAATATTTGCATTCCTCGCCGTGTGGGAACGGCACCCGCTCACCATCAGCATTTTATTTGTCCCATCATTCATAACGTATGTCAAACAACGTAGTCATGGCGCATTTGTTGTACTTGTCCACTTCCTTGCCATACACTCTATGATTATGGAAAGCGACCTAGTTGAAAACATCGCCTCAGATGTTCTTTTCAATACCGACCTTCTGGCTATAATCTGCCAAAACCTCTGGGATACTGTGAAGACAGGTGGCTGTCCGGTTGCTCCCAACGGGAATCGCGTCCACCCCCTTGTATCTCTAGCTTTGACGTGCCAGACTGTGTCATCACTAGCGCTGGACACGCTATGGAGAGATATCCAAGCTTACAGGTTTCAGCCAATCCTACGCATTTTCCCCCCTGCGTCTTCAGGGAATCTGCAGGTCCGTAATCGGTCTAGGCTTCCTAATCTGATTCTTATTTTATTCTCTTCATTGTGTGTAGGTACTTCCAGAAGATATCCCTGACAAGACATGGGTCCGTTTCTGGCAGTATGCAAGTCGTATTCGATGCATCGCATTTGATCCCACTAGTTGTGCCTGCTTCTCTTCGACTGTATTTCTCCGCCTAGCTGAGTATCAAACTCCCATATTTCCCAAACTGCAACATCTGAAAAGTGACGCATCTTTTGCGGCTTCTCCTTCCATTCTTTTCTTCCTCCCTGCGAAACCACTGAACGAGATACAGCTGACGTTCCGTGGTTCGACAGACATCACGACGTCGTCAACGTGTATGCGGGCCATCAAATGGCGAGTACCTGCCTTGCAAACACTCCACATTTCTTGTCCAGAGTTCGACAATGGCCAATATTAAGCCGTTCTCTTCACCAATCTATGCTCCATCACCAATTTCATGGGCCTCGGAGATCTTCGTTCTTTAACTATCAAATCCCACTTGGTAGACTATGATTTCCTCATCGCCCTCTCTACATTTGACAACCTCGAGCACCTTCACGTGAAAACTACATCGAACATACCTAGCAGCAGCCGTCAAATCCAGGACGGCTTCCCTTCCCTCAAATCTCTCCATATCACTGCCAAGGTATCGGAAATGTCGCGTATTCTCCGGCTTTTCCATCAAGGTACACTGGAGGCGCTCACCTTTGTCGATACCTCCGGCGAGGCATTCCGCACCAGCTCAGAGTTCATGATGGACTTTTACCGTGAACTGGTAGTGCGCTTCCCCCTCCGCAATCTCTCCATAACCTACCGGTCAGCACAGTTCGATAGAACACTCTGGGCCTCCTCAAGAGTGGTGTTTGAGCTGCTATATGAGCTGCATCTCTTGAGATCCATCCATTTTGTGGGCGAACTGGTATTGGACGATGAGACTATCAAAACTCATCTCGCACCGTCATGGCCTGACATTGAATCGATTTCGATGCCTCAGTTGCCTGGAGACCCTCCTTCATATGCTATGCTCCCCGGTTTGGCCAAATGTTGTCCAAGACTTGTGTCGCTGACCATGCCTATCGGGTTTCCTGACATACCGGCGGTAGAGGAAGTGCTTTCACATCGGCTGCAGATCTTGAAGTCGGTTAATACAGTAGCAAAAAAACCGGCTCTCGTCGCAAGGTTCCTGGATAGAATCTTTCCGTTCTTGGTGCGGGTTGAAGGAGGGTCGGGTTGGACTGAGGTTGATTCGATCCTTCGGGATGTGTGTCAGCCGATTCGGTGGGACCAGCATCAGAGGGAGCGGGGAAAGTGATGGTAATTATGTCCAAAGAGTATGGGAAGGAAACTGACTATGCAAAAAGATCATATATTTCATGTATTCAAGAGAAAGCATCTATGTAGTTTACTGAAGCGAGCCCCAAACTGGCCAATGTTCTTCATCGGGAGGATTCCATTCCTCGACGAGCATCGTCAAACTGTCACTAGTGAGAGCTCGAATATCCGCTTCTATTCTATGATTCCTATCCGTGAACCCGTTGTCCCATACCACGAATTGTACTTCGATTATTTTCAGCAACCCCGCATCACGGCGGGCACGTATCATGTTCACTATACTATGCCATTGAACAGGATGTGAGTGAAAGCATGCTGGCTGTATGCAAAGAACAAGATGGAATAGATTAGGCAGGGGCGCTGGTGCACCTGAGCAAGGGGTGAGCGACTGAACAACGTGATCAGCCCAATCTGCATCAATCTGAAGCTCAACCTTGAGGAACGAAAGCGTAGAAAATGCATCGGAAGCAAGGAGATTATGGATTGAAAGCCCTAAGACGAACAAGATATGCTGACCCATGCTCAAGCTCTGAAGGTGACATCCAGATCGCTGGAGGAAATGGTTAATCCATGCTGAGATGGTGGTACGGTCCCTGCGTTCGACGAACCGTTCGCGTGAAGACATGGCCAAGACCAAACTTTCGAGACGCGGCAAAGTCACCAGGTCTAGTATACCTGTCTCCTCAACAAAGAGGCGTTGGATATGCGGCATGATCACTGGCACCGGGATTAACGGTGGTGTTACGTATCGCAATCGCAGCTGGAGGTGGCACACCCTGAGCTTGGATTGGTGAGAAAGAAGCTGTAGATCATTCGGACGAGTGATACGGCCTGAATAATGAGTGATACAAGGCGGTAGCTTCACCTGTGAGATCCCTAGGCTTGAAAACATCGCTCGCCATAGCTGAGGAGCCTTTAAGCATATATTTGAGCAGTAATTTTCATCGGGGTGATTGACATATATGTCGATCGTTTGAAGCATAGGAAGGCGGGATATAGACTCCTCCAGGCAGTCCATATGATGCATAGTAACATCGATAATGACATCTTTCCAGCGATGGCATGACTCTTGGACAAAGAGTGACAATATTTCATCATCTTCAACACTCGAAGACCTTTCAATGTCGCCAACGACCTGTACAGTGAGAGGATGTTCACCCGTCCGCTTGAGATATGTCTTCCAGATCTCACGGGCATGCTTGGGGAAAGGCGTTCTCACTACGACATTCTGGGCCCAAGATGCAGGAGATGTGTGTAACGTATCCCTCCAAAGCCCGCAAACACGTCCCAAAACCCAAAGGGGCCCATCTAGGCGCAAACTACTCTGGCGTTCTGGGGTAACCGGGCTCCAGCGACGACCATCGTTTATGTGTTGCCACCACGAGTGGCGCACCAAGTGGAATATTTCGATGAGAATGTCTCGGGGAAGACGGCGAATGGGGGCATAAATCGATCTGCGAGCTTCCAAGGCATCTATCACCGCGCGACGGTGCAACTGCACTTCTTGAAGCTGGGCCTCATAAAAGGATTGGAGACGTTCCAACTCTAGGATATCGGCGCTAATTGATGCATCTTCACTGGGGTGGAGCATTGTTCGTGACTGACGTAAAATTTGAGCCACAATGTTGGAATTTTGGAAGGCTTTCAAGGGAGCTTGCGGCCGACGTTCGCAATCCGGAGAGAGGAGATTGACGAATCCACAATTCCGGCAAGGACAGGATTGGAGCATGGTTTGGGATTCTGTAAGGCATCTTATAAATTTGTCGCAAAAAGACTTATTCTGATACCTACTGTGCGACTGGTACAACTTCACGCTTGTTCGTGGCACGACACAAGTATGCGGTTTCTTCCCTAAGAAGTGGGCGTACGTGAACACGAATTCCTTGCGAAAAAATGAAGAACTGACGGGGGTTTATTATGAATCTGATAAGTTCTGATTGCCAACAGATTGAAACTGTGACTTTTTTGCGGTGCACAGACCTGTTAGCAGCATTAATAGGCTGTTATCGGAAAAGAAAATTGCTTATTACCTATTGGCTTTCTACAAATGCTGCAAGAAGATTAAAAAGGCTGGAGGCTGTGTGTAGTACACGATGTTGTTGATTGTTGAGGTTCGATCGCGTCAAGCACGTGCCTCTTCCCTATATAAGCGTGGGATTCAAACGGCCTAGCTTCTTGTCTTTTCACTCCATCATCAAATCTCGACTTCGCTCTACAAGCAGAGTCGTCTCCTCCAGCAAGAACATCTATCACCTCACTACCTTATATCAACAATGTCTGGACGTGGCAAGGGTGGAAAGGTGCGAGCTGACGATGCTTGTGCTGCGGCTTTTGTACTGACGATGCCCTCAGGGACTCGGAAAGGGCGGTGCCAAACGCCACCGCAAGATTCTTCGTGACAACATCCAGGGTAGGGCGATTCTATTATCCAAGTCTTATATTCTCTTAACGGTGCTCCAGGTATCACCAAGCCCGCCATTCGTCGTCTCGCCCGTCGTGGTGGAGTAAAGCGTATCTCTGGTCTTATCTATGAGGAGACCCGTGGTGTCTTGAAAATCTTCCTTGAAAACGTCATCCGAGACTCTGTCACATACACGGAACACGCTAAGGTGCGTCACTTTCTCTATCACCCAATGCATTATGCTGACGAGAGTTCGGATCCAGCGCAAGACGGTTACTGCCCTTGATGTGGTGTACGCCTTGAAGCGCTCTGGCCGTACTTTGTACGGTTTCGGCGCCTAAACCATATGCATGTCAGTGAGTCAAATCTCTTTTCATTACCACTTCATTATCTGAACCCTTCTCAGCTAGTTCTGTTATAATTTATGTCTACTCTCGATTTGTAATACGATGTAATATGACTCAGGCTTCAGAATTTATGATTCATCGCGGTCCCGTTGCTTTGCTGGATCCACTTCGGTGCGGATGATCCCGTTAAGTCTTTTACATGCGGTCGTTGAATGGGCTGGGCAGTGGGCATATTGTAGTGTATAGCTCCTACCCGCTGCATATCAGATTGGCCATGCCGCGCTTGACTGTACCTGAGGACGTACTCAAAGCCTTCGTTGTGCCAGGGCTGTTCAGACAAGAATTGCCACACCTGCTGGGTAATATACTACAGTGGCTATTATTGCGTCACGTTGTGCACGAGCCTTTGTTGGATCGCGTGTGCAGTTCTCATTCAGTCATAGAAGCTGGCCTTCAAACTTCTTGGTCTAGCCGCTCCTGCCGATACAGAGTAAGAACAAATGTGAATTGTCTGATACACACCTGAATCCGCTCTGTGGGGAACGCCATCGACCGCGTGAAATCGACCTTTTCTGATCTTCTTTCCAAACAATACGACTAAGGTGCACCTGATTATTCGCAGTTAGGTACGTTCCCAGACCTGCTGGAGAGCCAAACCTATTGCTACTCGACATTACTACTCTAAATACCAATCATAACACGTCCTCATACCGTCCTCCACCACGTCGAATCAGCTCTGAGATGAGCTGCGACTTGCGCAGCAAAATGTTCATCCGTCAGAGCACCAAGGTGTCCCGAACCCTTTGCACTCATCGCAATAGACTCTTCGTTTGTATAGAAACCACCGCGCTCAATCATAGCACCAGGATCGTTGGTTACCCAGACCTTCACGGTAATGTAGAGCCTCTCGCTCTCAGCTAAAGCATCTATAAGTGAGACGTTTTGGGTTGCAGAGGGTCGCACTTACGTGGTATCCGACCTCCCTTTTCAATGAAAGACTTGAACTTCACGTACAAGCTCTCGGTGTTGGAATAGACCTTCGCTTTCCAGTTTTGAATTGTTGATCGCTTGACGGTCAAGAGCCTTGATGGCGTCTGTTTCTGTTCCGTAAGCCAATCAGCGACATCGTCCATGCCGCCTTGGGATCCATAGGCCGCCTGCAGACCCATCGCTTTGCACATCTCGTGCTGGAACCACACGATGGCATAATGCTTGTAGCAAGTCGTATATGGGCGCCGTTGAAGCTTGCGCAAAAGCAGAGCCACGTCGGCGAACTCTGTGTCCCATGTTTGGCGGGGCGGGGGATTGTGGTAGCTGCGTATCCACGACGCCGTCGCTGGAGGTTGCAGTGAAGTCGAGGTATAGAGAAAAGAGCGAGTCTCTGTGGGCACTACGTAAAACGCGCTATGGGGGCTATCTTGATTGGTCTGGAAGCATCATCAGTATGCTATTTAAAGACGGATGCAATAACAACTCACTGAGATCGCTGGCGCTTGGTTCGGCGGAATAACAGGAGACTGGACACTCACTATGTGAGCAAACGTTCGAACGCGATGGAATGTCCCTGTTCACTCACCGAAATCTCGGCCATTGCAAAGACCACAAAAACATTGCATGTATCCGCATCTATGTCCAATTGGCGGCATGCATCGAGAGTAGCGATATGTGTAGGATTTGCAGGGAGTATGTTCCAAGGACTGCCAGTTCGAGAGGGTATAACTCCGTTGGAGTACGCGAAATGCATACCTAGCGGCCGAAGTTCGCTCTGGCAGTCCTTGTAAAACGCGGGAAAAGAGTTGGTCGAAAATTTGATCATTTCATGTCGGCGAACGAAACGCAAGAAATCGCCCATCCTTCCGGAGAATGGAGCCATCCCTTCTAGGGTGAACCGGGCCAACCACCAGTCTAGTAGTTGGTCTAATGCAGCAACCATCAGCTTTAGAACGCAATTGTATACGAAAATCTCACCCATACGAAGCACTACCTGATTATCCTGAATCTCCAGAAATTCATCCCTGACCTTCTCCGCCAGGTTGCTATTTTGGTCAGAGTCATCCCCTTCCCCGTAGAAGAGGACAAGATAAGGGTCCCTGCAGAAATCATTACGTGACCGAGAATCTCGGACCCGTCCTTGTTGACTCAAGACCGACGACGACGTCGACTCAGAGACACCATAGACTGGGCTACTAGGCGCTCGAATAAGCGGGGCTATCCTTTCATCCAGAAAAGACTGTAAGCCATTTGCGACAGAACGTCGCAATGATGCGCTTGTTCGTCGAACGTCGACCTCGCCTCTCCAACGGTCGAATGAAGGGCGAGGCCACACGCCGGGTTCACCAAGATGCTCTTCGTACCCGGAAAAGTCATCTTCGACGTCGTCATATTGATCGTGCCCTTCTTCATCATCGGATTCCTCCTCTGAAGAGCTGCTCACAGGAACAGGCGACGGCGACGGGGAAAAAGACAACTCGCGCTCAACTATACCTGGGCTAGGCATGGCCTGACGAGGCTCAGGATTCAAGAGCTGGTAAACGTGTTTTACGGGCCTACGAGTCTCTACTGCGAAGGCTAAGTTAAATTTTCACAGCCAGATTTGATACGCGTAATAAGACCTACCATGGTTCTCACCAAAGTTGCCGACATCAGCAGGCGGGGAAATGTCTCGAGCATACGGATGAGGGCGGGCGGAGCGCGTACTCTTTACTTTTTCAGCCCTAGGCATGGCAATGGGCAGTCTTAAAGTCAAGCACTTGTGATGGAAAGAGACAAAGTTGCGATTGGCGTTGCACAGTCGTCTAGAATTTGGCAAAGGCCCTACGGCCCAGAGGTCCGATGCGGCATTTTTTAAGCTGTCAACGCGGGGACGTATGGCACATTCTGCCAGAACTTGCCATATACATACATGATTCCTGGCCACTCCCTTTGTATCACCGTCCAGGTCGCCTAACAGTGCTTCTCACATCGAGTAGAACAGAAGCGATATTATGCGAAGATTGTGCTGCACAACTGGATCTGAACCCAAAAAAAATAAACATGAGAGTCGGAATCGGAATCGGACAAAAAGCGGCAAGATATATTCCCGAAGACATTCCGAGCGTAGCTGAGCAGAATAGTGGTCCGTGCAGTAATGCGTGCAGGACATGAGTGAACGAAGAGAGCTTGCCGAGCGGGATTTTTCCCCTTCTGGACTACGGAAACGATCGACACCCGACCTTTATTTATTTAATCAGACAGACAGACGCCTCCTTGAGTCTACAAACGATTATTGTTTCACCACCGTTCGGGCGAATCATCATTATATTCAATCAAACAATTCAATCTATGAAAGGTGTCGATATGTAGCTACAGATACCCGCAGTCTGACTCGGTAAGTAAAAAAATCGTATAATAGTATGCGTATGCTAAAGAAAAACGAAGTGGTGATCGCAGTACTACCTTTATAACGATTTTACAGGTATACTGGGATCGAAAAAATAGATAAAACTACAGTCGATGAAACACCCCATAAGTACATGATGGTAATGATCGTAGAATGTTTACAAACGAAAATACTCGAATCCACCAGACTGGTCATGAAGGGGTTTCTTCTACGCGGTTCTGTGAAAAGCGATCTGCATAGGGAGGAGGCAGCTCCCGCACAGTACCTCCATCCCGATGCTGGATGATCAATTCTCCTTCGCCTGTCGAAGTGACATTCTCGCGTGTACCGTACGACGCAGGCCGCGCAGGCCATGGGTCATACGCTCCGTTCGACGAAGGAGGCATAGCCGACTGTGAACGCTGTACGCCTCCCGCTGACCCAATCGACTCAGAAACCGACGAATCCGGCTCTGCGGTAGTCAACCCTCCTTCCGCAGTTTTACTCGGTCGGCGGATGGACGATTGGGGGAAGTTGGTGAAACCGGGTCGAACTGAGGCAGATGACGACAGGGACGCGGTTTGATAGGTTCCCTCAGTTCCATCTTCCATCAAACGACGAGGATCAAAGGGAGGCAGGGAACTGACACCGGAGGACGGAGACCTGGACACATCGGACATGGTAGTTGACCCGTTACTGTAAGAAGGTGATTTTGGCGTGTGGGGCAAGACGGGGGTATGTCCAACAAAGGCGTTGATGGTCATAGCTTGGCTGCTGTTATCGGACATAGGGCTCACTGGCATATACGGAGTGACGTCAGGATCAATCTCTGTGTTCGTCTTTTGGGCTTGTCGTCTTCGGCGCCAGAAGAACCAGCCTGCTGTAACTAACAGCAGGAAGGCCAAGACGCCTACGACAACCCCAGCGATAAGTCCCGCATGGTTCTTGTTTTTGCCCGCGTTTGCCGCTGCTGCAGCGGCGGCGTCCAAGGCAGTGGCGTTCCCGCTCCCGCTCTGAAGCGAACCGCAATCAATGTCAGTATTGCCTAGCGTGAGTTAATCAGTCTCAATCATACTCGATTCGATGACTACCAGTCGACTTACCAGTTGGCGTAATGGATGGTGTCCCCCAAGCTACAGCACCGGCGCTAATTCGTCGTCAGCTGATAACATCTATCATTAGGGATGATACAAACTCACGAATCAGAAACACCAGCTGTCAGGCGTAGGTGAGAATCTTGATTTATGACAGATGAAATGAAGGGGCATACCTAACATGATTTGACCGCTCGTCGCTCGATTGATGTAGGTGTAAGCATCATCATCTCCTCCCGTGGTCACATTCGTGACCACAGGAGAATCGGTCTGTACTAAAGAAATATTATAGGGAGGAATGCCGCCTTTTATTCGCAGCCCCCATGGCTGGCAAGGCTGCAATTCGGTTGCCGTAACGTTAGAAGTGACCGTGAATGTAGTAGAATTTGTTTCGGTAATGCAGTTCGTTGTTGTGCCCGCTACGATAGCTGTTAAGTAATGCGTTATGAGAGAACTAAACACAAAGCTTACTGCCGACCGTGAATAATTTGGGCGCATTTCCTCCAGAAGATCCTTCAGAATCGATGACATTAAGCAGTATCTCGGAACCTGGTTTTTCATGTTTCAGCGTCGGTACGGCGGTGCAAATGTTAAAGGGCTTACCAACGGGGTTGTTGACCGTCCACGTTAGATTGCTTTCATTCTGTCCCAATAGCGAAGTTATCAATCCACCGCCCTTCTCATAAGCTCTCATATAAAATGGTGGTACACCATGGGTATCGTTATTAGGATCGTAAGGCTTGACGAGGATACCGAATTCATGGCATGATTCCAACGTTGATGACACAGACTAGACAGGATGATAAGTACTGAAGAAAGTGATGAAAACCCAAATACACATACGTTGCTATCGAAAGCCCACTGAAATATTTCCGAGGTCGCCTCGGCGCGACACGGATCTGTAAACCCCAACAGAAAGAGAAGTGCGAGAGCCGGTAGCGAAAGCGAAGGCGAAAAACGAAGAAACATCTTCGCAGGACGAAGGAAGACGAAAAGACGCCCGACGATGGTGAAGGTGGGAGGAAGAAACAGGCACCTGGCCTCTAATGCGGCGCCACGGTTTAGTGGGGACCTCCACCCTAGATCCTCCTAGATCTGACACGGTTTGTCTGGAGGCTATGTCAGTGCCGACTAGTTCGGCCCCTGGCAAATACAAACGGCAGCCCACCGAATTATAAACGAGTGTGTTATTCCTCTTCGCAGAAGAGATAAAGGAGCGGTGAATCCTTGAGAATAGGAATAAACGAAAGTGAGTATGTATGTAGTAGATCAATTGATTGTTTCGAGAGGCCGACCGTACTTTTTCACAATCAACTGTTGCTTCTAATTCTGATACTTGATGAGCTTTACCCGGCACCCCACAACTCTGAGGAATATCATAACCCAGGTCGGCATCGCCGATTGCCTGTGCTGGATTGGGCGATCATCCCTGTCCGTCGTAGGTTGGGCGCTGTGTGCTGATGTCCATCACCATCAGGGCGGTGTTTTCTATACAGTCGTCTGATATGAGCGATGCATGAGGCCACATCTTTATTCATGATGATGGAGCGTTCATTTAGGAGGCGGCTAAGGAGAACTAGGGAGACGTTGGCAAATCAATGGAAATGGTTCCGGTACATGTTCGTATCGTGGGAATCATTACTGTGTAACCCTGTCGATCCCCCGACGCACTTTCCAAGCCTTTTGACTACGCAGTATTGCGCATAATCTGGTGGTACAAAAAAGTAGCTATCAAGCATCATGCGCTCATAAAAGTACCGCTAAACTGAAGGAATCTTCTCGCGACAGTTTGTTTATCAGCCATTCGAGCATTTTCACATCCCTGCCTTGGTTACCGGCAAGAGCAATATAACATCCATTGATATATAATACTCTACGTGCCTGTCCAACTCGTTCCGCTACGTACGTAGCAACCCAGGAACAAACGACTGATTCTGAACGACACAACGGCAACAAAATGAAAAGAATTGAATCACTGCGTCTGTGCGCCATATCCTCTGATGCCTTCGGCGAAGGACCATGTCGTATCCGCGCTACGCGACTCTGAGATAGAGGTGCCAGCAGCCGTGATTTTAGCAATTTGGTACTAGGTTCAGTCAGGTGAGCAACCACATTTCAAACTGAAAAGAGCCAGAACAGGGATGTACCTTATTCAAACTCCTCGCATCTCTGTAATACAGGACTTTCATACTATCCTCGATGATCTTGAGCGCCTCCTCCTCGGTAAGGACATCCTCGTAGCCCTCGACCGCTTTACGTAGGAGGGGCTGGGCGATGTAGGAGCCATATCCAGTCGCCAACGTTGACGCAGAGTAAGTGGTACCTAGCAAGTCGACGTATGCCAAAAATCTGCCAGAGGCAGTCAGACAAGATCGGCGGAAGGACGCTGATTTCAATCATACCGCTTTCCATCTTTGAATCCACCGACAAGCAGTGAATTCCATAGAGGGTTCATCTTGGACCTCCGGGCGTACATGACCTGAGACAAGTACTCGTGGATCTCAGCTGGTCCAAGGCTGTGACCATCGGCAGCGGTGAATTCGTCCACCATGAGTTCGTCGAGTATAGTTTGGATGTATTGAAAGTCGGACATGTCACCGCTGGCGCCAATAATGGTATAGTCTCCCACTGCTTGCAGACGTTGGACATCCTTGAAGCGGGCGAGCGAACCATAGGAGGCTATAATGGCGTGTTTATTAGACAGCGAAAAGGTAAGGAAGCGGTTCATACGCACCGAGGTTGTCAGCAGCCATCATTATCCCGTCCTTGTACTTGATAGCGAGGACACTCGTTCCTGTCACTATTGGCTGTCTGAAGACAATTACTCTAGCGAAATGTTAACAATACAAACAAGAGACGTACTGTGTGTGCTGAATACCAGCTGAAGCTTTGGGTCCATTATAAGGTCGTTGTGCGATTGGGTACGTTCCGTAGAGGTCAACAGCGTCGTTTCTCTGGAAAGAATCATCAATACGCAGTAATAAGACGACAGATAAGAACGTACTGGACGGCCCCAGTTTGTAGGGAAATGATCCATGGTGAGAGTGAAAGAATGGTTCTTGCCTGACGCGCAAGCAGGACGCGTACTTGGCTTATGTAATCCGTATGATAAGATCTATCAAAGATAAGATAAGATAAAGTGATTTCCCCAAGTCAAACCCAAACTTATTCAGAGCACAGTAAAATAGTTTAATGGAATGTAAAAAAAAGTACAAGATGTTTTCATTCGACGTTCCTAGGCACAGCGGATAAAGCCTCTAGTCCTCCTTTGGCAAATTGAGTAGTAATACATAAAGTCGGTGCATGCCGCGTCATGTCGTACAATTAAATCCCACAGGATCTAAAACATTACTACACGAAATGGTGCGACTTCCACTCGTTGCTATGTCGTCGAATTCTCCAAACCGTATGCCGGTGCACGGAGCGGCCCCACTGCACTGCAGCTCCGCCAGATACTCGGAAGCGACATTGCCCACGGACGACTCCCAAGTGATGTCGGAAATCTGGAACAGGGACGTATCGCACCCTCCCGTAGCGCCGATGTAGGACGTGCACTGGGTGATGTACGCTACCGAGTCGGTAATATCTTGGACGACGAAATCCCGGAAAGCTTTGCAGATATTAGTGCTACTACGCTACATAGAATCACCTCAAACGCACTGATATTTCTGGCATATCCGAGACCGCCGCCTCCACCTATACAATTAAAATCAAATAATTCAATCCTGCTAGGGCTGCGAAACGATAGAATGTTTACAAACCATTCGGCGGATAACCCTGCTGGATGCCCGTCCATGTTTTGATCCATCCGGCGTAGCTGGTTCCAAGGCACGCAACCCTTTCAGCGGTAACGTTTTCTATCCGCTCAAACACACCGGGATATTGTCCAATAGATCTATACCCAACCAAAAAAAAGTCCAAATCAAATTTAAGAATCCGGGGCTAGAAAGCGTCCGCACTTACCCAATAGAAAGACCGAAACCGGCATGGAACACCGAGTCTTGGATCAAGATATTAGTCGAGTTTGCTTTCAAGGATATATCGTCGTCCCCTCCAGTGACGGTCCAATTACGAAACGTGATCCGATTTGAGTAGAACGTATCCACACCGTCCGTGTTGCGCGCTGGTTCCTGTGAGTCATTAGGGCGCGCGCTTCAGGCCAGGAAGATCGAGAGAACTAACCGAACTATTGCTAGTGGAATTCACATATATCCCTTCCAACAAAACATCCTCCGAGTTCTTGATAGCCATCGTCCAGAACTGAGATTGTACAAATCGGATACCAGAAAAGAGCGAATTGGTAGTATTCGTGATCATAAGGCTGATAGGCCGGCCTGCTAAATTAGATACGCCCTTTGTAAAGTCGTACCTGCAACATTCCCCTCAGCCACCACAATGGTCAGCCCAAAAAAATCGACACACCAAAGCTGTCCATTACCATCAAACGTCCCTACCCCGTGTCCACGAAAAACGACCCTATCCCCTCCGAACATCCACGCCGTAGTCTGATTCTGATACCCCAGCGGTAACCCGTTCGAGCGCCAATACGTGATATTAGTTCCCCACTAAAATACCAGGGTTGTCAGCAACTAACTGCATCCTCGAATCAATGGAAGCACTAACAAGCATGGTACCGCTCAGATCGACTAAGACATCCCGAAGTCCAGTGGTATTCATCACCGACTCGATATGGTAGAGTTCATCATTCAACACGACTGTTCCTCCTTGTCCGCATCGATCAAAAGCAGACAGGATCGCAGGGGCATCGTCGGAAGAGTCATCACTGGCATGGACATGGCACACGGAACCTCGCTGAACCACGTATCCAGCATGAGCTAGAGTAGCCAGGACAATCGACAAGAAGAGTTTCATCGGGAATATGAGAACTTGGCTTCCTTGCAGCACACATGCATGTTTTTATGGTAGCATCAGAACCCGAATGTCGAACGTTGAATGCCCATGTGAACTGACTTCCATCGCTCGCGGGCCGTCCGGATTCTTCTCAGAGAGCAGAAGGATCACAAGAACGCATTCATGCACGGTTTTATGGTAGCCTCAGAACTCGAATTACATGTCGAACATCGAGTGCCCATATGAACCGACTTCCATCACTCGCGGGCGGTCCGGATTCTTCTCAGAGGGCAAAACGATCACAAGAACACATTCTAGGGAAAACATCCCAGTATCAAGGTTATAGACAAGGATGACACTATCTAAATCTAACACAAATTATAAGCGAGTCGCCAAAAAGTAGCAAGATAATGTCGCGAACATAATTCATCAACTGAAGACAGTAATCAATTCTTTTTGCGCTTCTTCGTTTCTCTCGTGTCTCCATTTGCAATGTCACTCCTCTTTCCAACCTTGCCTGCTTTCTTATTCACCACTCGTTGCAACGCCCGCTTAGTCTCGCCGTCGGTAAATGTTGATAGGTCAAAGTAGTTCGTCGCAAACTCTAATAGCCTAGAAAGACGACGGTCATCAGTCCAAGAAGCTCAAAACAGAAGAACCAAACGTACCATTCAGGGCGAACCTCGGATACCGTACGAATGTAAGGTCTCTTCGTCAACACAAATTCGTTGAAGATGACCCATTCTGGTTGAGTGTCAAGGCCACAGGACGGGTGAAGTGCCACGACCTGCATATGCTATCAATCACGAGGCCTCGAAGGCAAGCAGAAAACGTTACGAACCTGATTGTCCTTCACCGTGAGATAATTTCCCTTTTCTCCCTCTTTATGCGCCACTTGCATGAAGAACCCACAAACAAGTACTTGGCGAATGTTCTGGTATAGTTTCTTCTCGTCCGAGAGTGAAAGCAGTTCCACTTCGTATTTGGCCATGGTTCGCTCTAACTGGGCACGGACGTTGTCCGCCTGCGCGAGAGCTCGAGCGGAGAGGAAGTGGTTGTACAGCCAGGTCTTCTCATACTTATCTGTGAGGCTGAGTGAGCATTTCGTTTTGGGCGGCGAAGTAGACGGGAACATACTTTGAACATATTGATTATAGACATTCAACATGGTAAGATGATCGCCATCGGGGACAGTGAGTAAGGCTTTTGCTGCATCGGCTTGGTTACGTGCATTTGGCGGTCGTATCCACACGTTCGGTACTAGTAGTTATCGTTAGTTGAGTGATAGATAGGTAGGTAACGAGAACGCTAACCGGAAAGCATAGCGGTGATGGTGAGGATTTCGTTGCTGCACTTGAATTCTGGGCTGACGATAAGCATTTTTTGCAAGCTAAAGCAAAGAAGTTAGCCATAGATACATCTGCAAAGGGAGTTTCAGACGTACCTGAGGATCGAGCGGGAACTCTGCCATCACACTACCCAAGGACGTTAGGTTACCGTCATCATCCAACGCAGAGAGGAAGTTCAGTAACTCCAAAGCTCGCATCAGCGTCTCGGGAGCCGGAGCATCAACGTAGTCAAACCGTACGAGATCCTGGAACCAATTAATAGGTGTTTGTATTCATGCGTGAGATTCTTACCTTGATGCCCAATTTGACAAGCTCCAGGACAGTATTACTCAAATTACACCTCAAAATCTCTGGATGGGTTTGCTCTTCGAGCTCGTTCATGAAGTCCTTCTCCGTATAAAGCCGGAAGCACTTCCCTGGCCTCGTACGACCCGCACGACCCGCTCTTTGCTGGGCGGAGGCCTTAGATATAGGGCTTACGAGTAGACTTTCAACTCGTATCCGGGGATTGTAGACTTTCTGTTTGGAGAAGCCAGGATCAACGACGTAAACGATTCCATCTATTGTCAAGGACGTCTCAGCAATATTGGTGGAGACAACGACCTTTCGGCCTGGGGGACCGTCGGGTGTTCGAGGAGTAGGTGCAGGGTCGAAGATGCGCTGTTGCTGTTGAGGGGGTAGGGAAGAATAGAGAGGTATACAAACTAGAGGGCCGACGGAGTCTGGGTCCTGGTTTACCAGATCGTCCGCTTCAAGCTTGATTTTTCGGCACGCATCCTCTATTTCCTCTTCACCGGTGAGGAAGAGTAAGATGTCACCAGGGTCTTCGGCTCGATGGATCATAAGGACAGTTCGGATAGCAGCTTCCACGTAATCGGGCTCGGGTTCTTGAGTGTAGAACACCTCTACAGGATGTGTACGGCCGGGTACTTTGAATAGAGGTGCCGGTGTACCAGCGGTAAGGCCAAAGTATTTTTGGAATTTGAGAGCATCAAGAGTTGCGGACATTATAATGATCTTGAGGTCGGACCGGCGTTTGCGAGGTCTTTCAGGAGACCCATGAGGATGTCAGTGGCAAGCGTCCGCTCGTGCGCTTCATCTAAGATGATAGTGGAATATCGCTCGAGATTGGGATCGTTCATTGCTTCCCGGAGAAGCATGCCGTCGGTCATGTATTTGAGGAAAGTTGTACCAGGCTCTGTCATGTCTTCGAATCGAATTGAATAACCGACGTGTCGACCAAGCTGGACTAGAAACAAGGTAAGCCTTCTGGATCCAAGTACGTCAACAGTACTCACCATCCATTTCATCCGCCACCCGTTTTGCTACTGACATCGCTGCAACACGACGAGGTTGGGTACATGCTACGAGTTTGCCTTTTGTATGCGGTAGATCTGAGTACGCGACGAATTGAGGTATTCTTTGGCAGCAATGAGTGTCAATCTGATAAGAAGGAAATGTGCAACACATACTGTGTCGTTTTTCCTGATCCAGTCTCGCCAAACCATTACAATGATCTGATTCTCATTGAACTATTGCAAAGATCAGCCGAATCGTTACTTGAAGAGAAAGGGCGCATTTGAAGAGGGGTCGGCCTATTCCTAAGGGCAACAGAACTCAAACCCCTCCTCAGATCTAACGCGCATATGACTTACCATCTTGAAAAAGTCATCCATCTGGGAATACACGGGTAGCTTTTCTCGCGAGGCAAGGATTTTCTTGTACTGCGCCGAATGTGGCTGCTTCGTGAACGGATTATATCATGTTCCTAGGTATACTGTCAGATAAAGTTTTCGGCTCTGCACGTGTAGAACGAACCAGAGCTTGCCGCGCCTGTTTACCGGTGACTTTTCTGGGCAAAAAACCAAATAGTGGCTCTTTCGAGGTATCAATTTGGCTTTGGATGGCCCGGCGCCACGCTGAGAGGGGGTAGATGAGCGATGTAAGGGTTGTCCATGATTTTTTCGAGAGATGGGAGTAGAGAAGGATAGCAAATAATGATTGGTCATCAAAATTACACCGTTATAGAACTATTCCACAGATGCTGCAGGCGGCAGTTTTCGGCTAGCGCCGTTGGTTATCCTGTACTACACAACCTGTACCACTGCCACCACCCTGTCTTATTTTTCCCCCCCCCCCACGCGCAAACCGCTTACAGTGAAATTTCGTTGCTCGTTCGTGCTTCTTGAGCTGTCGCTAGACAGAACACCGCTACAGGTGTACTGTTCGTCACAACACAGCAGACTTGGTCGATTGCGGTTGCCCGACACCTACGTTTCGTGACCTTCATAGAGAAAAGCTTGAGTATAGCTACAAACATGCTGTTTGAATGGCAGGCTTCGTTAGCCACGTTGTCTTGACAGTTGCGCTTCCTTCCCAGCGTGGTTAGATGGACTAGTTCTCCGTTCGTGTTGGTGGATCACTCGTGATGCCACTGTAGGTTTCGGTCTGTTCCTTCTCACACTTGCCCATGGTCTGTGCGCCATGTCTTACTGTTATATTTCTCTGCATCATACACGGAACGTTCATCGTCCATTTTTTGTCCCGACAGTCCCATGGAGGACTGTTTAATCCCGAGTGAAGCCTATATATGCAGTGTGGGCATGTGGCGTAACGAGATCTCGCTGCGCATTGGTGGGTTCGACCCCGATACGCGGTCAAGACGTGGATCTTCGTTCCGTGAACAAACCGGGGGAAGTGTACCACGGTATCACTGGATGTTGCTGCGGGGACGAAAGAGAAGGTACGAGGACCAAGCTTGGGACCTGGCAGACCTCCTTACCTCGTTGGTTTCAGTCCCTGTTCCAGCCCTGTTCTCGGATGCAAGTTTCCGACCTGATGTATTGCAAAACATCCGA